TGTGCGTATATTAATAGACGCTATTTTATGTACCATGAATAAATACGTGACGTACTGAATCAGTTCTGGAACAGCACTTTATTTTATTCGACGCAACTAATTTAGACTTCACACCCTATAACAGTTCTCCCGTGATTATCTCCTGGAACTCAAGCTACGGTTTCTTATGACCCTGGTTCAAACGTCTATGTTATTCATGCTCTGTATTTTAAATAGGACTGTATTTATACAATGAATAAAAAGACGTATGAATCAGTTCTGAACAGCACTTTTTATTTATTCACGACGCCAATTATTTCAGCTCGGTACGGTCGCCGTATTATATCGAATTAGTTTACGCGTTTCTAAGGCCTGGTTGTAGACACTCTATTACTCATGTGCCGTTTAATAGTTCTAATAGAACCTATTTTAGTATGATAAAAACGACGTCATTGATCAGTTTGAACAGGCAACTTTTTATTTTATTCGACGCAAACTCATTAGCTCCTTACGGTCTGCGTACTTATTCGACATAAGTCACGGTTCTAAGGCCTGTTCTGACGTCCTACTTTTATGTTGCTGTCATTAATTCGACTCTATTTCGAGTAACATGATAATACAGCAACTGAGATCAATTTGGTTACCAGCACTTTTTTATGTTTAATTCCGACGCAACTATTCTAGCTCAATACAGTTTCCCGTATTATTTGACATAAGTACGGTTCTAATGCCTGGTTCAAACGTCGTATTATTCATGTGCTGTATTAAATAGACGCTATTTAGTACATGATAAATACGACGTCTGAATCAGTTTGGAACAGCACTTTTTATTTTATTCGACGCAACTATTTAGCTCAATACAGTTTCCCGTATTATTTGACATAAGTACGGTTCTAATGCCTGGTTCAAACGTCGTATTATTCATGTGCTGTATTAAATAGACTGTATTTAGTACATGATAAAAAAAGACGTATGAATCAGTTTGGAACAGCACTTTTTATTTTATTCGACGCAATTATTTAGCTCGATACGGTCTGCCGTATTATTCGACATTAGTACGGTTCTAAGGCCTGGTTTAGACATCGTATTACTCATGTGCCGTATTAAATAGACTCTATTTAGTACATGATAAAAACGACGTCTGAATCAGTTTGGAACAGCACTTTTTATTTTATTCGACGCAACTATTTAGCTCCATACGGTCTGCCGTATTATTCGACATAAGTACGGTTCTAAGGCCTGGTTCAGACGTCCTATTATTCATGTGCTGTATTAAATAGACTCTATTTAGTACATGATAAATACAGCATCTGAATCAATTTGGTACAGCACTTTTTATTTTATTCGACGCAACTATTTAGCTCAATACAGTTTCCCGTATTATTTGACATAAGTACGGTTCTAATGCCTGGTTCAAACGTCGTATTATTCATGTGCTGTATTAAATAGACGCTATTTAGTACATGATAAATACGACGTCTGAATCAATTTGGTACAGCACTTTTTATTTTATTCGACGCAATTATTTAGCTCAATACAGTTTCCCGTATTATTTGACATAAGTACGGTTCTAATGCCTGGTTCAAACGTCGTATTATTCATGTGCTGTATTAAATAGACGCTTTTTAGTACATGATAAAAAAAGACGTATGAATCAGTTTGGAACAGCACTTTTTATTTTATTCGACGCAATTATTTAGCTCAATACAGTTTCCCGTATTATTTGACATAAGTACGGTTCTAA